ATTTCACTGCAAAAACAGTTCTGTGTGCAACCAGCATTGAAAAATAGGAATCTAAACTTAACAGTACTGTATATATTTCAAAAGGGAAAAATTGATCATTTTCTCCTAAAAAACCTTCCGCCATAAAATATAGTTTCTGGCTAATTCCTATCTGAATGGAATTTAATCGCGGTTTTTTCATTGGAAATAGTTTAATTTGCATTGTAGAATCCAGATTTAATGTTTGAACTTAAAAATGATGCAGAATTTTATAAATAAAGGTTCAGACCAAAATCTGCCCAAAAGCTCAGGATCGAACCTCCTTAAATTTGAAGCCCTTCACCTGTATATGGTGACGTCTCTATATGAGTGAAAAATGATCGAACGGGACGTAAAACAAAAACAACATACAATCAATCAAGCAAACTTCGGATACAAATTACATGCATTGTATATTAAATTTTGATAAGAATAGAAACTATGTAAATTGTATACTCAGTTATATTTAAGTAGTATTTGAAAGCTAGGTGTTTATTGCTTTTGAGTATAACTAAACAGAACTTGGCTAGGAGTTTATCATTTGAGCAGTATAAGCACATTTATTTAGGTCCATGTATGATAAATCAAGAAATAGATTTATTATAAAAATTTGTTGCTGAAATTACATATCATAAGACTTTTTTTCATTTGCTTGTCATAGTGAATAAAAACAGGGTTTTTCAAGAATTTGTTCAAATGTTAACTCGTTATCCAGTTGCCTTCCTGAAGCAAGTGGTCATTTAATTGGTTGATTCATTCAAGGTCACCATATTTACGTGCAGAATCATCCTATTGTACAAACGCCTGAGCTTAAACTTACTCAGGCGCGGATCCAGGATTTTTTTCCAGGGGGACCCACCCCAGACAAACAAAAACAAAAAACGTAAATTCCATTTCCCAAACGTGAATAATAAATTAAACCTATTTTGTGGTGGCAATAGTGGGGTCCACGTTTTCTAGGGGGGGGGGTCCAAAGTAATTTTTTATTTGCTTCAGTACTAAACGTTTAATAACTCGGCAAACTCCAAAGGGGGTTGGGACCCCCCCCCCCCACCCCTCGATCCCCTCTAGATCCGCGCATGTTACTACACTTTGTCTTTCTGTCACATGAAGTACTTGACTGGTATCTTCTCTCAGCTTTTAGGTCTGTTACATCATACTAACGCACTGCCAATAGCACTGGCATTGCTCTTGATTATGTCCGTGCCAGCAAATCAAGTTTTCCAAATTGTCTGCCCTTGATGAATGCAAGGCGGTTTACTCTGAATTGCAGCGTCAATATCATCATTAACTCTGTTAAAAATTCTATACATTATTTACAAGTCAAATGAATTTTAAACCAATTAAAACAGAATCCTTTTCTTGAATTTATAGGTCTTTCTTGCTTAATGTCATTCTACATGTCTATTCCTGAATTTTAACATCATTCTTCTGTTGTAAATTTTGTGTTAACTGCCATTTGGAAATTGAAAGAAATTACACTACGTTACTAGATTACCAGATTGTTCATCTCAATCAGGATTTCTGTTACAAATTGATACAAAAAGATGCAATAAGTAAATTAAATAAATGAATAAAAATAGATTTAAAAAATATTTTTTACATTTTTATATGGACACGTTCTCTTCTTGATACAATTAATGTATTTTTTTTCAAAATCGAAAATAGGTTGATCTAGTCATCTTTCAGATTTATCGACTATAAGAAGTGCATTGATCGAACTGGGAATGCCTGTTTTAAATGTTCTTTGGTTGGTTCTATTTTTGGTACAATATATATACATACCGAAGTACACAGATTTTAACAGATAGTAACATTTATACCTTGAGGAACCATGAACATCTTCATAAATGTTATTTTATTGGTCTCTTACCAGGCGTCGAACTTTGTTCATGGTTTCCCTCTGAAACCAGTTCAAGGAGAATCTGAAACAAGATCTCTTCAAATATTAAATATATACGGATTTTATATCTCAGCATACAACTTTCTAGTTCAACACAATCTTGTCAATGGAAGTGGACTTTCAATGTCCGAAACTGTAAACAAATATTTTGGTGACGGTAAGACAAATTTTTGCCATAGTTTTCAAAATGATAAGATCATTTTATTTCTGTTTATATGGTATAAGGAAAAGGTAATCATCTTATGACAAATGGACGGGTTAATAAAATTGAGAATTCCTGTTATGCCAGTTTTTAATGCCTCCGGGATATATAGTAGAAATATTTTACTTATTCCATATTGTTACAATGCCTCATTGGTTCATATTGGCTTAATATGTTTTTCTCATAGCTTGTGTTGTTTACCCTAGTATTTGTTAGCTCTACTGGTCAGAGACCAGAAGAGTTTATGCATTAGTAAGGTGTCTGTCGTCCGTCAGTATCTCTAGTTACCGTCTGTGTGTACACAATTTTTCAAAACGTTGCTCCACCAACAATTTTGGTTCGATTTCAATAAGACTTGGTACACAAGCAGTCTAAAATAAGATACATTGTTCTTTATTAGAAGTACACACCAGTAGAGCTAAAGTCTGGTAAGAGACTTCCGGTTGCTTTTACCTCGATTAGGAAGATAATGTATTAAGTTGCCTTTTCTATCGAACCATTTTGGCCAAATTTTACGCTTTATTTCATAAATATTTTGTCAATCAGAAGCAGAAAAGAAAAAAAAAATAGGTGACATCAAACATAATTGTTGAAAGTTTTAAAGTTTTTCTAGCAGAGAAAAACACATGCAGAGTTTTCTGATGCTATTTCATAAAAAATTATGCAAGAATTATACAAGGCATGTCCAATTTTGCTATTTTTTATTATTTGATAAATATCCAAGGAAACAGAGGGTCCTACACGTTTTTTGTCTTGTATTGCAGTTAAAAAAGAGACAAGATATTTACACAGGTTTAACAAATTTAATAACTTTATGTATGTAGATGCTGATTCTCAAACACACTTTTTGGGTAATATTTTCGTTATAACGGATCATCAAAGCGAGGTTCAGCGACATCTTTCCGGTACCGCCCTCTACCACGTCAACGGGGAGCAAATAATCATGGGTCTGTATTCAAAAGTTTAGTTTTACATTTTTTATGGTCCTGGAAATACGTTTGTAAAATACACAAAACTCATATACATTTATATTTCTTCTTTTTTTCAGTTCTTAATAAATATTTTTCTCTGTTGAGGATCTGCATATTACACAATACCTCTTCATTTAAGTCAAAATGAATTAGGAAGATAAATGTTAATGAAATTCCTTTAACTGGACTTTAAATTTATACTTTGTATGATAGTAATCTTAAAATTTTCCCGAACAATACATTGAACAACAATTTGTTTTAAAAGCAGCCTCAGTAAGTTGTGTTTCAAAAATGTCCTTTAAAATTGATTTCCAAACCAGGAAGTATTAACTGTACCTTAAAATAACTAAAACTGCTGAATTACTGCAATAATTCCTTTTAAAAAGTATACATTACAGCATTCAATAAACAGAGATCATTGTCTTATTTTTTTGAGCACGTTCCAATTGCAAGAACATTGTAAATTATGCAGAATTTCAAACTCCTCAGTGTGTATTAGGTTTTTTATGGTCCTGATTTTCAAAATGCCCATCTAAAACAGTTTTTTAAAATAATAATGGACGTCCTCAAAAAGGGACCAATTTTCATGCGCATTTTCATTATAGGTCTTAAATAAATTTTAAGACCATATGATTTGTAAACATCTCATTTCCATTCTAAGTTGAAATAATTTCGAGACAGGTTGCATTGACTTCGTACTAATGATTTTAATCAACAACAATCACATTCAACTTAGTCTATATCTATCCATCTATCTATCTATATATAATACCTTTCTTAATTAAATGAATCCTTAATCAAACATATCTAACCTTACTGTAAATATTTTTTAGCCCACAACTATGTACGGTCACTTAGGAAAACACTGATAAGCCTTGCTAAGACGATGCTTCCCGAGTCTAATATAGATATCATGAGGGAGAAAATGGCGCAATGTTTGTACACTATTCAGCAGTTTTACAGTAATACTAACTGGATAGAAATCCATGGAGAAACCATTTTGAAAGAGTTTGGTAAGTCAGCACTGTAAATCATTACACATGTAGGGAATATAGACCTTGTTTTAATACTAACAATCGATACATTTGTACTACTCAACCTGATTAAAATTTTCTTTGCTAGGTCTCCAACTTTTTATTGTTTCAATTGGGGAAATCTTACTTGCATTTTAAAAACAAAGGAAATATAAACCTCAAATTCCACGTCTGCTTCACGAAACAATGTAAATAAAAAAAAGGAGTTAGTGAAGGTCAGATTTTAATCAGACTGCCTAACTTCTTTCTTTGCAGCAGCACCTAACAGATTTTATTTCCTTTTGTTTATATATATATATATATATATATATATATATATATATATATATATATATATATATATATATATATATATATATTCCTTTCTCTTTTACCATAGGTATTGCAGAATCACTTCAGATCAACATCAATGACCTGTCGGAAAGTACGTGTAAAGATTGTCCAACGGACACAAACAGGTATTACTTCCTTTATATGTTTTCTACTGGTATTTAAATTCACACACACACACACACACACACACACACCCTGATTTTTGGACGGTGTAGTCAAATCCATCCTCGCATGACGTAGTAACCCTTGGTCTTCAAATCTTTTGACTGTACATATCGCGCATGTACATATACAAACGTGATTTGGTATGCTTAACACCTGTAACACTTTTTCTTCTTCATTTTGAAAATATCTTATACTGGAAGCAACTTTCAGGAAGCCTTAGCATTAAGGAAAAGAAACGAGAAATTTTTCATCGGAATTAAGCTGTCATACTTATAATTCGTTTTATCCATTAATAAGAAAATATGCCTATTATTTCTCTACTTGAATTATTTTTCAATAAAAATTAGATTTTTATATTTTTTTCACTTAGCATATCAAGCGGTATGTGTAGGAATAATATTCTGTCCGCCACAAAGTTGACAAGTGGATACAGATCAGGTCAGGATGTTTCCAAGCCACTGAGTAGTGCGTCAGGCGAAGGAAAATGTAGCCATGGTTCCAGTGATGACGATTCCAGACACAGTACAGCGACTGGTGGGATCTACAAAGGAAGGTCGTCTTCTGCGCATGCTCCGCACTATCACTTGCATCTTCAAGCATTTGAAGCTGCAAAGCAAGCATCTGTTTATTTTTTGACCGATGAAGGTAGGTTTTCAAATGACTAACACAAGTCGGACTTTATTATGTAGCGTATTTCATAGCGTCTTCTCTGAAAAACTAAGATAAATATATTTTTTCAGATCTATTTAACAAGAAAAAGATCCAATTCTGTCAATTTCATGTCTCTAAATCTTATTTTATTGCTACCCTGGAAAAAGAAGTCAACAAATTAAAATGATTACAATTATTTATGTCAAGGCTTTCTTTATTCAATATTGTACGGTGAATTGTTTTATATACTTTTCCAGCACTATAAACTTAGGAATGATAAACTGAATACAATTTTAAATTAAGGATATGAAGAAGCAAATTTAGTTGTCCCTGCTTCCTTGCCATTACCTGTTTACTGTTTGCCAGAAGAGAAAGGGCATTTGAACAAATTTCATATTAATATATCGTGTTTTCTTGACTTGGAAATATTTTGTAATATTCACTTACTATAGTAAACATATATATATATATATATATATATAAACAATATACAATTCACATTTTCAGATAATGGATTGATGAACGTTCTTGGTTTTGATCTCTTCAAGGAAGTGCTTAGTATTAAAACCAAACAGGAGAATTCTGCTATCAAGTCTCGTTCTATCACATTTGTTATTGACGTCACTGGTTCCATGGGGAATAATATTGCCAGTGTGAGAGAAGCTACGACGAAATATGTGGAGCTTATACGAACGTCAGAAAATGTACCCGAAAAATATATCCTTGTGACCTTCAGCGACCCAGGTATTTTATTTTTAAAAAAGTATTATTCATTTGAATGTGGTAAATAAGTATTTTTGTATTATTATGAACAATTAGAATTAATGTTGTTATATTAAAGAGTTTATTTCCACAGTTACTTTAGAAACTGCACGAGAAACAACCAGCGCTGATGAGATGATCAAATGGTTGACGGATCTACGTGTGGATGGAGGTGGAGACTGTCCTGAATATGCTTTATCTGGTTTACTGACTGGTAATTCAAAGCCAGGAAACTATGAAGTCGCTTTCTATATGTAAAATTACTCGTGATTATAAATTTTTAATTCGCCCAGAATCAACAGATTTTTGTCAAACTCGAATTACAAAGTATTCTGAGACTGAATGCATCTTTTCTTATTCTTTAATATATTTTGTTTGTAATAGTTCTCCCTGTTTAAATGTCAAAGTAGCGTTTTAAAAAAGGTTAAGATTTATTAGAACATGTTTACATTGACCAGTATTGGGATTTTAGGGGCCACTATGTCTAATAATAAATCCGCTGTATACATTATTACTGATGCACCTGCAAAAGACGAAAACAGAGAAACAGAAGTGATATCAATTTTACAGAGGAAAAACTTAACTCCAAAATTTCTGATAACACCTGAGTGTTCTGCAAGAAAGAAGCGTCATGCAGGTTTGTTTCCTTCAATATAATAGTAGTGTTTGTTCCTTTAAAATTCGCTTCGTTTCATGGAAACCCCCCTAGAATTTTTCTTAGCAATAAAGCATTAAACTCGATGCTTTCAACAGGTCGACACAAGCGCTCATCTTCCGTGTATGATCGGATAGCTCAGGCCACGGGTGGGAGTGTTAACAGAGTACAGACCTCTGAACTACAGGCTGTTGTGGAAGCAGATCTCACGGTATGAACTTAAACAAATGCTTCTTGTAAGGATATTCCAGGTTGAAATGCCCCCGAAGGTAAATTTAAGTTGCTATTTATAAAAGATATTCGATGATTTAAACTCATAAGTATTAGATAATTTTTTCCCTGATAATTATACCATCTAAAGCATGATGTTGAATGAAATTTATGTTTCGAATTTTGAAATCATTGACTAAGATATTCGTGTTTTAGGGGGATATTCCCTCCTCTGTTGCTTTGATCAAATGGACAACTATGCAAGCCAGTGATCCAGGTGTCTTCAACATTGAAGTAGATAGATCCGTTATTTACTTGACTATTTTTATTTCTGGTTTGAAGAACACAACTGATCTGATTCTAAAATACCCTAATGGTGAGTGTTAAAAATGTGTGAGTTACAAATTTGTCATATAAGTTAATGACAAAGCGCATATGTCTATTGATATGTGTGCCAGATGATTCGTTTTGAGATAAAGATCATTTTGTAAAGGTTTGGGAGCTTTTTTGAGGTGGTTAGTTACTAAGTATCCTCAGTAGCAACAATTAATTTAGCAGGACATTTTACTGATTTTAGCCATGTTAATATGCAATGAATAATCAGATAATTTTAGCACTCCCTTGCAAACGTACATTTAGAAGTCAAATGCTTTAAACGGAGAAAGGGGGGTGGGTGGGTGGGGGGTGAATAAATTTTCTTAAACCGTTTAATTGTTAAGGCATTTTGTCTTTAGATACCACAGTCAAATTTGATTCCTCTGAAGATATCACTTTAAACCATGCTGGGAGCGCGGGTACAATTTCAATTAAGGTATTTGTGTTTTCATAATAAATATAATAAACAAAATTAAAAAAATGAAATTTTATCATAACAAAATATTCTTTGATATGTTAAAATCAACATATACGTGTACTTACTGGAAAATACCTGCAGTATTCCACAATATCCTAAGAATAAAAATATTCATTTATAATGTACACCAAGTAAAGAACACTTGACCATTTCCATTAATTTTCCTATGGATGGATCTTCTTTCGATTTATTGAAAGTAAATTTTCAAAATAAGAGTAAAAATATAGATTTTTCACCCCAAAAATAAGAGTAAAAATATAGATTTTCAAAAAGAAAAAGAATCAATGACTTATCATACATAAAGATAACACCTTTAAGACAATGAATTATTATCGTTCCTGAAAATGTTTCGGTACATTTATTTAAGGGCAACGTCAGACAATTTTATTGTCAAAACGTGTTAGGATTTGCGTGCTCAGTGGTAAAAGTGGGGGGGGGGGAGGCTGAGTCGGGATTTTAATCCCCTTCAGCTTCAATCCCTGCACCCACTGCTAGTACATCTTACCAACGTAAAAATGTAATGCGGGTCATGATAGAATATTTACATCCACTGAATATTGTCTCCTTTATTTCTTAAGAAAACCATTGCCGTTTATCAGTCCGTAAACACAACTAAGCATATCACCACTACAGATTTCTGGAGAGTGGCTGTTCCATCAATGAAACGTACAATGACGTGCATATCAGTAATACACTATTCCATCGATTTAATCCTATGTTGAATGAATATTTGCACAGATATACATATAAATAATAAAATGTCTTTCTTTGTTTGCTAGCACGGGAATTAACGTTGAAGCTATTGCAGAAAAAATTACATAACCCGCTTACGCGGGTTATGCATTTTTTCTGCAACAGCTGCAACATTAATCCCCGTACTAACAACCAAAGAAATCATTTTATTGTTTAAATACCTACCATATAAACGATACAAACATTTCATTATTTAATTTTAAACATTAAGTTCAAAAAATGATGTTGTCTTCTACCATTGAGGCTTTAGGCATTTCCGACGCTTTATCTCTTCCATGTTCTTTAATAGAAACTATATCCTAGCTTTTAATTTTTGCTAGTCACCCGAAATAGGACGTTGGACATTGGAAAGGTTATCTAGCGATCGCTGGATTGTGAATGTAACTTCAAGTAGCAGATTTGATTTCACACTCACATTAAACGAGCGCTTAAATGGAGTCCTTTTTCCTGTGAAAGGGAACCCCGTATCAGGTAACACACACACATTCGCACACCGTTGGATAAAACTGTAACAAGGCATATTAATCTTTATAATGCGAAAACTTGTAATTTCACCAGAATTCATCTTCACGAAGGCTTGACAGAGTATAGGCGCTTTAAGTATTAATAGTGTCTTACTTGAAAATAATGTTTTGGCAATAATGACCGGTACCTTTTTTGGTCGTAGGTGAGAATTATACTTTGATAGCAGATTTGGAGAACTTTCCAGCAAACTATTCTGTGTCTTCCCTTGTGTTGGTTGACGGGGAAGGGAAAGTCATCCTTGAGGTGATACCTAACCTTCTTATTAGCACGCCAAGGCTCCAGCATCTTGTTGACTTTAACCTTAACTTCTCAAACAAGGTAAATAAATATCAGGCAATCGGTCAATCTATAGTCTGCTTTCTAAATGAAGATATTAATAATATAAATAGCTATTACCTGATTTTCATAAAGGCATCTGGAGTACAACTACATGGAAAAGACTCTGAGAGTCATCTGTTTGTGCGCTCCCTGTCATTCGAGATAAAGCCAGTGGACATAACCTTGTCAATGTTACCATACACAGGTAGATATAATAGTCTGTTCCAAATTCAATTATTATATATATATATCAGAAATTAAATATATAATTATGTTAAACTTTATATCGCTGCAGGTGAGCTATCGCTCCTCAAAAAAGAAAAACTGTTTTACACTACCACAAACCATGGGAGCAGCAGCAAATATGTGTCTGTGACCGTATCCGATGACAAGAATTACGTTGTTAGTAGTAGTAATCTTGTCTATCTGATACCTGCAGGAGAATCTGTCACTAGAAGCTTTGAAATCCGGGGAACCGAGGCTCTTTCCATTGTGTGAGATTTATAAGTGTGACTTGCAATATTGTTTTGTCTGATTTTTAGAATTTATTTTAATGATCTCGGAAATAAGCATCGAATAAATGATCTTTGACTTTCATTTATTGCAGGACTGTTGATATCTCTGTCAGCGAATTCTCCTGGTTTGGAGGCGAACGTCTTCAAAATCTCAGACAGAGATTTGTGGTTAGTTTTAATATCTCTAAATATTCATGGATTCTTTTAAAATATTCTTTTAGGTGTATAAAAATATGCCAATATTTGCTTACTTCACAAACTTGTCATGATTATCTGTAGACAATATCATAAAATATTTTTATTTCAAATACATTTATGTTGATTCTAATTACAATTAGTATTGTTTGAATTGCTTTTCTCATACTTTTTTTCAGATCATTACTTTATAGGTCAATCGAGTCACTTGGTTGATTTTTTGTTTTTATTTTAGTACACGGTGCATCATCTGACGTCAGTCATTCGTTGACATTCGAACCTCCCGTCTATTCGTTACACTGGGGATAACCATTATCCCTCTTACACCACTGTAATTTTGATTTTAATGAAACGAACAAAATCTTTTCACATAGTGGCATTGTTCATTTCCTATTTCACATTCCGATAGGACACATATTTGGGGTTTCCCATAGCAAAGCTTGAACACAGCCATAGTATTGGAGTTACCCATCTCTTATCCACAACTCCTCTTAAACTACTGAATAAAATTTAGTGACTTTCACAGATTCTTTATTACATAGTGTTATTGTGCACCACCTATTTTACGTTTCTATCGTACAAATATTTGGGGTTTCCTATAGCAAAACATGGACTTTCCCGTACATGGTACACTTGGGGTAGCCATCTCTTATCCGCAACTAGCTACTCCTATTCCACTGAATAAAATTTAATGAGACTTTTAAAGAACCTTTATCACGTAGTGCAATTGTGCACCTCCAGTTTTACGTTTCTATTGGACAGATATTTGGCGTTTTCCATAGCAAAACATGGACTTTGTCATTCTTGGTACAGTTTGGGGTAGCCACCTCTTATCTGTGAATAAAATTTAATGTGACTTTCACACAGTCTTTATTACACAGTGACATTGTGCACCTCCTGTTTTACATTTCGATCGGACAGGGGTTGGGGGGATGGGTATCATTTTGTGAGGCATAGTGCGTACAGTATTTCTAGTTTTAGCTTCTTCTCTGAACTAATTTCAATCAATTTTATGTATTGATCAAATATGGGCTAGGGGAAACAAAAAGTATGAATTTCATAGTCTTGCCTGGGGTCTGTGGGGTTGAGTTAAATTAATGTAATATTCAAATTCATTACTTCTGGGCATCAACCTGTTTGCATGTTTATTATATTCAATGAGCCTCTACCAAAATTGTGAGTTCCTGGCTTCAGGTTCCAGGATGGTGTTACGTTGGTCATATATTGAAATAGAATTATATCTTATAAAATATTCCCTCTTACTCAAAGGCATATAAGAGGAAAATTGTTCGATTATAGTGAGTACTCAAACTTTTACAAAAATTGAAAAATTCATACCCCTTGGGGCCATAGTGAAAGCCCTAGGATGGAGCTTAGTATGCCATAAATATTGAAAATGCATCACATCTTTGAACATCATCTTCTCTATTTATGGAAATAAAACATACAAAAAATTATGATGATTTAGATGTTTATAATAAACCCTTAGCCCTGTACCTAAATTGTAAAATCCATGGGACCTCGAATACGGCTCATTTGGTCCTACACTGAATTTTCATTACATTTTCGAAACTTTTTTTTTCTTCTCAAATAGATATTCAGTGGACATGACTACAGACGTTTATGGGAATCAAACAACTAAAGTATATGTCAAAGGGGATTACTTCAGCTTTTCCAATGTCAACTCACCATATTCATGTAGTATTACTCCACTATCACTTGCATATTGTGTTTATGTCTCTAAAGGATTCGGTACGCAACTGACTACAGACGTTTATGTGAAAAAAACAACTTTAGTTAATTATATGACAAACGGGACGACTTCAGCTTTTTAATTGTCAACTTCCCATGAAGTAAAATTCCACTGTCATTTTCATATAGTGTTTATGTCTCCAAAGTTATTCAGTACGCAAAAACATCTTTAGAGTTCCATGAATTTTCAAATTGAGGCAGGCCACTGACGAATATGTTAATGTTACAGGGCTTTCTGTAGTTTGATTTTGCAAATTTCAAAATCAATATAATGACCTTTTTTGCAAATACAACTCATTAATAATTCGAATGCTGACTGACCTATTTCATACAAATTGTTAAGCCATTGTTGTTATGCTAACCCTTACTGCGGGTTACTCCCTTAACCTGATCAAAACAGAGAGCTCATGGTGGGTGTGACTGGTCCACATGGGACACTTACTGTGAAAATCACTTATTTTTGTGGGGTTTATGTTCGTTGTTTTCGTGGTATGGAGAGACCCACGAATTCATGTCCACGAAATTTTAAAGTTTCATACAATAAATGTTCACTTCTTCAACCACGAAATAAATTCCCACAAACCAATATTTTTTTCTTAAAGCACGCAAATTCGCGCCCACAAAAATACATAAATTTTGCAGTTTTCCTTTTGGACACCTAGTCCTACCTCTTGCGTTTCTAGGAATCACGATGCCCCGTTCACGATTCGTATCATTTATAGGATTTATTAGATTGATGACTCCTCATTATCTAAACCCTTTTTATATGTTTACAATGCGTTCATAACCTTGTATAAAAATTATAAATTCATGTCCCTTGCTATTGGGTCCAGTGTTCAAGTCCCAGGGCTAAGTTGGTCATATACTGAAAAATATCTAAAACCTTTGAGAATCTTCTTCTGTACTTGTGGACATAAAGCAGGCAAACTGTAATTGCATGATAGTAATAGACACGTTAGTAATCTCAGCCTTTTAATAAAAATTGTTTAATTCATGCTCCTGGATCCAGGAGTCTGCATGGCCTTTGGATGGGGCTTGATTTTATATTGAAAATGTAATAAACACTATGCGTTCTACCAAAATTGTGAATTTCAGGGCTCATGGTTCAGGTTCCAGGGTGCCTGGGGCTATGTTGCTCATACCTTTGAAATACATTACACCTTTGACAATATTTTCTTTACTCACGAACTTTTTGTAAATGGTAGTAAATATTACTATACACTGTAAGTAGCCACTTACCAAAACATCACGGCCCCTGGCTCACAATAAATGGTGAGGCTAAATTCGTCGTATATCAGAAGTACATTACATCTTTGAAAGTCTTCATTAATTTATGGACATCTGATGATACTCAGGTAGCGTCAAGATCATTGGATCTAGATTCATGATTCGTGGCATAAATATTTTTTTAGGATGAAAAGGGGGGGGGGGGGGTTGTAATCTGCTCCAAGCTAGAAGGCTGACATTCTAATTAAGAAATTATTCATTATATTGGAGATGTGTGCAATGAAGGCTCTGATTGCATGACTTCGGCCTAGTGAATATATTTGAAGATGTAATCTATGCTAAAAAATAGTTTCTTTTTTATATACTCTTTTATTATCATGGTAGTTGTGGAAAGTTTTGTCTTGAATTTTTTCCCCTTATTTTACAAAGGTTTCCTCTGCAACACGACCTTCCTGCAATATTACAAATGTAGAAAATATTTGTCGTAATATGTCATTTACTGCTGAAAACTGTAGTGATGTACGTTGGAGAGGAAATGCTGTCGTTGAATTCACCGGAACAAATTTGACGTCATTACACGTGTCCAGTGCAAACGTCAATCTTACACATAGTGGTTTGTCGGCCTTCGCTGGTCCTGTACATGCAGAACTTGTGTATGTTTTTTGAAAGCCATTTTAAGTAGTGTAAGGGTGTACATGTGACTGTCATATTGGTTACTTTTTTAAAGTCCCTAAACATATATGCTTACATTCCTTTAGATCTTATAGTTAGAGTTCTCCTCAAACTAATTTGTATTTTATTTCTAAACAAAATTTTCATTATGCCGAGTCGAAAATGCTTTCTTTTTTTATAATGATAAATATTTTTGACACTTTTTTCAGCGGTGACTGTTGTACTTCGTCCGTTATTCTTAGTGCTGTCGATGCTGATGGATTTGTTTCTCAGTGTAGATTTCTCCTGTACCCCGAATTTTGGGTTGCAACTAATATCGTTAAAGACACGTCTGAACCATTGAAATTTGTGGAGGTCAGTATAGCTTAAACATGCTATTTAAAATTTAATACACTCTTTGACAAAAATGAACCACCTGAGACAAATAAGAATCAAGCTGAGAATCAATTTTAATTCTTTAATTAATTTGAAATTCGATCGATTTTTCAGCAATTTCACCAGATTAGGTTTTTTCATGTTGTTTGTTATGGTATTTTAATGCATACATTGAAAAAAAAATCTGCATTTTCTAGGAAAATGTGATAGACTGTCACATTTTAAAAAAAATTATATTTCAAGGATTTCAATTTAAATTGAAAAAATGCTTTTAATTTGAAAATGTAAAAAATAGCGTCGCTTTTTAGATGCAATTAATGGACATCTGCAAAATAGCGTACAGCGGACTTCGGACTTCAGACTCAAAAGCAGACTTTTCATAGTGACCGGTATAAAAAATTGAAAAAGATCAAGTTATAACAAATCATCTAAGAATGTGAACTATTAATAAATTTTAATCGGAGGATAGTTTTAAAATTCTTATTTTGATTGGTATGATTAGAAAGTTTGCAGAAAATTATTTATATGTAGATGTATATAAATTCAAACAGTTTGAAATGTTTCGAAATAACTATTATTGTGCATTTGAGTCAAGTCTAAACTAAATTCTCAGAATAACAACAATATTTGGCAGTTAATCTGAAAAGCATCTATTATGAGGTACAAACAAGTCCTGCTACAATCTCAGCAATGATTGAAACAAACGTTAAATTTCACATTCTGTACGTTTTTTTAATTTACATATTGAACGTACAACTTCCAATGATGACAAAACTTTATCAAAGTTTATGCATTTCCCGCATGGTTTGTTGATAATTTGAAAAAAAGTCAATAGTAAAAATCTGTTTTTAATCTCAAGATGAAAAGTACAAATCATCCAGATCTTGGCCAATTTATTTTATTCATTTATTTATTTATTTGCTATCGAATATACTCTTGCGTATCATTTAGCCATGAAAAACACAGTCGATATGATGTATTCTTTCTTAATTATCAGTTATTATTTCAACATGTATGGCATGATAGTTTCGATGTCCCTAATAAAATAACCGTTGAGGTTCAATGAGGAATATCTGTTACAAACTTAGGACGTTCCATCAATTACGGGTACTGCACGTTTTGGGCCCTAGTTGCATCATGCCTGTCCATTTTTCTTTACTTGGCTATTTTTATTTATTTATTTATAAGATTATGAACTGCGTGGAATGCATTTGCTTTAACTTTCTGTAGAAGCACTGATACTTAAAATGTATTATTTCATATAAACACGATGGATAATTTCGAAACCAAATTTAATGAATAAATAAAAGCTTTTTCTCGGAGACAAAAATATGCCTTGTAATGATTTTGGCTCTTTTTTCTCAATTCTTAATGAAAAAGAATGTTGTAAATACCAAAATCTTCTCAAGATATTTCATATAATCCGTGCATGTAATGGTTTCAGCACCGTAGCATCGATTGTGAAAGTGTGCGTCAGGGTGTGTGTGTGGGGTGGGGGTTGGGGGTTAACTTAAATCTTTATCAACAAACAGAGAATTATCTAAACTCGAAATCCCATATTGGGGGGGGGGGGGAGGGGGGTAGCACTAAAAAAAAGTCAGTACATTTGCACAGGAGGATTTCACTTTATATCTACTGGCTCTAAAATGATCATTTTAATATTAAATAAATAGTAAAAAATTATGTTCGGATACTCTGTATATAAAGGGCGGCTCACATCTATTAGCAAAAAAATCACTATATTTCTAGATAATATAAGATCAGGAATCTACATCCATGTTTCTTACAAAGTCAAATGAATATCTCTATTCAGTTCAAATTCGATATACATTAGGGCACTGTTTCCTTTTTTTTTCTTTCTACGGGGGTGGGGTGGGGGTGTTAAAATATACAGTCCAAATAAATAATACCAAATAATATTTACTAATTAATTTAAAAAATAAATTAAAGAATAATTAAGTAAATCTAATAAATAGATAAACAAAAGTTTTATCTACTAGTAACTCAAATTCTTACATCGTGCGTATAAATTAGTGGGACATACAATGTTTTCTAAGCAAAAACGTTCCGTACTATTTTAGGCTCTCGGTGTGACTTCTGTGAGTGAAACATAAAAGTAAACTTAATGTTCCTCATTTATTCCTATTTATAAATGTCACAGAAGTTTGCAGTTCGTTCGATAATCATGATTTGAATTTGCCATAAAAGAAATAAAAAGGTGATTAATAATTTCTACACTTTGAATGTTCCCCTTATTTAAAGTCCGAAGTCTGAAGTTTGTAGTCCATTGTCAGCTATTCCGCAAATGTCCAATACTTGCAATTTACATTCATCTCTTTTTTGTTTTTCAGACAAGTATCAATGTAGCTATCCTCGGTGGCGTATTTGGTGCCCTAGCCGGTTTGATTATTGCAATAGGTGTTATGGTGAAAATCTGTCACTCCTCTGATAGGAAGACCGCTCCTATGAAAGATAAAACCAATCCAAATATGGCATTTTCGACAGAAAACCAGAATGTATATTTTCATTGCACTCCACCGGCAGATTCACGATATATCTGCACGACTGCTAAGGCTAACTTGACAAAGGAATATTCCAAAACATAACACAAAAGAAAAAGGTTTACAAATAACATTTCAAATTGATTTGAAGAATGAATTGATAACACATAAATGTAAGGCTCTAAGTGCAACGGTCTTTATCATCAGTTCCGCTGCGCTGAATTTTGATCATAGTATGTCATTTGCTTTTCTACTGAACGCTGAACCCAAAAAGCAATTTTCAAATGAAACGTTGATCTTATAGTTTACAAATGAATAAAGTCTTTCGGTGTGTGGATAGATATCTCAGGAACAACAAAAATAATGTATCCTTTAAAAAATAGTCCATGCATTCCAATTTATTAACATCAAATCCAAAATAAAATTCCAAAAATACTAAGTATGTTTAAAAGATACAGTTTAAGAAAACATTTAGATATTTTCTGAATCTTCGGTAGAACAAGAGGTCTACAATCAGTCGAATTATTTCCATGAAATTCTCTGTAATCTACATATTATGAAATAAAAAGCATCATCTCATCTCATAAACAAGACTATAGAATTTCAAACTCAATACACAAACATGGTTCATCGACATTTTGTACCTAGTGCAAAATGTTTTATTCTCTAGATTAACAAATAGTAAATTACGGACTCGGTATCGATTTTATTTATTTACTTATTTTTATTTTTATTTTTTTTTTTTTGAGAGAGAGAGAGAGCATGGCAAGTCAGCTTTTGGTCACAAACTGTCTTTTTTTAGCTACTCCGGCGAATATTGTTATTCTCGAGCCTTTTGGAATGAAAATTAACCAAAAACGCATGATTTGGATAGCATGTGTTTTCATGATTTATATCATATATGTATATAAACTTTATTGGTGAATGGTTCTACTCTACTGACCACAAATTTCCACGTATATGAGTGAATAAGAAAGATTGAACTGTTGATATTGTGTTATAATTTACTACTATTCAAAATGCATATATGAATTTAAAGTATAAACAATCCAGCAGTATATAGTTAACATTTTATTGAACTTGTATACTACATTAATTGTTTTTATATAATTTGACATAAATGTTAAGTTTTTCAGCAATGAGTGTGGTATAATTGGTCACCAGTGTTCGAGTTCTTTTGTATATTAAAGAAGAATTGCTCATATCTGTAAACAATGTAGAACATATACGAAGTCTATAGTTCGTTTTGATTTTACTTTGTAAAGATGATAGTTGTTCAAAAAGTGAATATGATGTACATGGCATTCAAATTACAGTTTTCGCCTGCTATGGTGCAGAGTGTATACAAAGGACTGACTCTGTTTAGTGTATTTCTTATTATTTCATTTTTTGTCAAAGTTTTCCATTAATGTAAGAAGACATTAATTTTATTATTTTTAATTGCATCGTGAAACCAAGAAATGTACATCCTGTGTAATCCATGTTGTTGAGTTCTTAAGGTAAAAAAATATTTTAAAAAAAACAGTAACACGTAACTTTGCGAAAGTCCTTCGACTTAATTACTGATTGTTAATTTTGAATCATACATGTATCAAAGAAAACAAATATTCAAGAATATGAGAATAAAAGAAATGCTCTATAGTCTGTTTTTGAAACCTTTTTTTTCAAAGCATAAAATGAAAAAAAAATGTGTGTATTCAATAAGTTTTTATATTCAATTAAGAAAAAAAAAATAAGTTAATTTTGATTGGACAATTTGGCAGGCATCACAATATATCGCATTGTGTTGCAGTAGAGTGCAGTATGGTGCAATTCCACTTGTATTTAAACAAGCACAATTATTTTACTTGTCAATGTATTAAAAATATTCCCCACCATCCACCCTTTAAAGACAGCTTTTATATACAATTTGTCCTTGTGATTGAATGTTTATTTGGAAATTTGCATAATGTAAGTTTTGTTTGGAAGTTCGATAACTCAAATTATGTCCCTTTGAACAACGTAGATAAAACGATCATTGATTTCTGCTTTATATTATGTAAATGTTTAAGCAACGCTAACGAGTAACAGGCTTGTATACTATATATAAGACGTTAGAGAGACAAAAATGACCATGTGTTAAAGTCAGAGTAAATAACGGTTACGGGTAATATCGCGTGTAAAGGTCTTAGTGTGAGCTTATCTCACTAAACAAGTACTGCTAAGCAGTATTGAAAAGCGTCTTTGATTGTTCTACAAACTAGGCGTTGCATAAAATAATAAACAGCAATAAAAAAAATTGTCGAAAAATCCTTCGACATTATAACTGCATTGTTAATTTAGATTCGTATGAAAGAGAACAATCATATAAGAAAATGTGAATGAAAATATTCCATCCAGTCTGTTTTTCAAAACTTTTTTAAAAAATATATTAGAAAATATGTTAATTTACACCTTATTTTCAATATCATAATGTAAAAAAAAAAAATGGACTTCATTTTATTGAATGACATTGCATTGTAGTGCAGTGCAATAAAATGCAGTTAAATTCTTATTATGGTAAACAGTATAAATTCTTTTGCAAACAAAAAAATCCACTCATAAGTCAAAACGGAGTGACGTTCATTTCTTTTGGATCTTTTACGCATACTCAAACTAGTCATTCGATAAAAAAAAAAAAACAGTAACACTTAACTTTGCGAAAGTCCTTCAACTTAATTACTGATTGTTAATTTTGATTCATATCAAAGAAAACAAATATTTAAGAATATGAGAATAAAAGAAATGCTCTGTAGTCTGTTTTTGAAACCTTTTTTTTCAAAGCATAAAATGAAAGAAATGTGTGTTTTCAATAAGTTTTTTAAATTCAATTAAGAAAAAAAAATGACTATTAGTAAGTTAATTTTGATTGGACAATTTGGCAGGCCTCACAATGTATCGCATTGTATTGCAGTAGAGTGCAGTATGATGCAATTCTACTTGTATTTAAACAAGCACAATTATTTTACTTGTCAATGTATTAACAAATATTCCCCACCATCCACCCTTCAAAGACAGCTTTTATATACAATTTGTCCTTGTGATTGAATGTTTATTTGGAAATTTGCATAATGTAAGTTTTGTTTGGAAGTTCGATAACTCAAATTATGTCCCTTTGAACAACGTAGATAAAACGATCATTGATTTCTGCTTTATATTATGTAAATGTTTAAGCAACGCTAACGAGTAACAGGCTTGTATACTATATATAAGACGTTAGAGAGACAAAAATGACCATGTGTTAAAGTCAGAGTAAATAACGTAGGCCTTTCAACTGCCGCTAGGGTTCGATGAAAAGAACGATAACCGATTACCGGATCTTGTTTACAGCGGGTCCGAGGAAGCTAACTGTTTCTAAGCATGTTAGGTTTTAGCAATTTTCCAACTGTTTCTTCACTGTCAGCGGAATCCGGTGGTTTGAAAATTTAACACAAATGTTTAACTTATTTATAATGTAGTTACCGACACTGCACAATAATATTTAAGTGAAATTTTTAATAAAAATATAAAGTGAAATCAACCCCCCTTCTTAATTTTGACCTGATTAAATTTTTATATTTGATCGTTCTTCTTCGTGCTTAGTAAAATGAATAAGATAATTTATTGATGCATTTAATTGTAGAAATATATATCTTTATAGATGAAGCACAACAATGCACACGTAAAATACATGGCATTAAATTTTCTTCTACATGACAACTGTCGGAGAGAGTTATAAATCTTGAATATAGTCCGTTCCCGATTCATTTGATCCCGTTATTTCATGGAGAGTGAAGGCATTCCCCTTGTTTTGGTCAACCCTTTTGTGTACCGAAGAATATTAGGAAACCTATTGTGTACATAACAATACCAGCTGAAGCAGGCTATATGTCATTCCTATAAACGATAACTCATAAATCGGCACTTTGCTGGTCGTTTTTTACACTTGAGTTACCTGTCCTTAAAACACAACATCGTACAAATCAAATATTAACAATTAATTTTTTTGGGATTTAATTAAATGTATGTATAGTTTACTATCTTTTTTGAGAATTTCATGTACCTACAGATCTATCTATAAAATGGTTTTTACCATCTGTGCAACTTGAAAAATTAGTTGAAAGGCCTAAATAACGGTTACGGGTAATGTCGCGTGTAAAGGTCTTAGTGTGAGCTTATCTCACTAAACAAGTACTGCTAAGCAGTATTGAAAAGCGTCTTTGATTGTTCTACAAAGTTATCGGCGCTTTGTTTGAGGCTCAAAATATTCACTCATCAGTCAAACAGGAAAGTTTATAATTTTTTCACTGTTTTGCCTAATAATAAAAATTGACCAAGTATGTTTTCATTAGACAGTACATCAAGCATTACAATGCAATGTATTGTACATGTAGGACAGTTATATTTTTATTTAAAAGCAAAATTAATTAGCTTGCAATTAAAGAACTTCACTCGACACTCCAATTTTTCTCGGGATGTTTCGCATATATCCTTATCAGTCTTTCAATAAAAAAAAAATCAGCAAAAGTAACTGTTCTTTGATGAGAACTTACATGTAGCTGTATGTACTGTTATCAGTAAAAAAAAAATCAGCAAAAGTAACTGTTCTTTGATGAGAACTTACATGTAGCTGTATGTACTGTTATCAGAATATATTCTGTTTATCCTTCCTGGTGCTTATCTGCATCACTCTCAAAATTTACACTCATCAGTCAAACACGAGATTTCTCTCTTTTTCAATCTTTCATATACCCAAACTAGGCGTTGCATAAAATAATAAACAGCAATAAAAAAAATTGTCGAAAAATCCTTCGACATTATAACTGCATTGTTAATTTAGATTCGTATGAAAGAGAACAATCATATAAGAAAATGTGAATGAAAATATTCCATCCAGTCTGTTTTTCAAAACTTTTTTAAAAAATAAAAATATATTAGAAAATATGTTAATTTACACCTTATTTTCAATATCATAATGTAAAAATAAAATGGACTTCATTTTATTGAATGACATTGCATTGTAGTGCAGTGCAATAAAATGCAGTTAAATTCTTATTATGGTAAACAGTATAAATTCTCTTGCAAACAAAAAAATCCACTCATCAGTCAAAAAGGAGTGTTCATTTCTTTTGGATCTTTTACGCATACTCAAACTAGTCATTCGATAAAAAAAAAAAACAACAGTAACACGTAACTTTGCGAAAGTCCTTCAACTTAATTACTGATTGTTAATTTTGATTCATATCAAAGAAAACAAATATTTAAGAATATGAGAATAAAAGAAATGCTCTATAGTCTGTTTTTGAAACCTTTTTTTTTTTTCAAAGCATAAAATGAAAAAAAATGTGTGTTTTCAATAAGTTTTTAAATTCAATTAAGAAAAAAAATGATAAAGTTAATTTTGATTGGACAATTTGGCAGGCAGCACAATGTATGGCATTGTATTGCAGTAGAGTGCAGTATGGTGCAATTCTACTTGTATTTAAACAAGCACAATTATTTTACTTGTCAATGTATTAAAAATATTACCCACCATCCACCCTTCAAAGACAGCTTATATACAATTTGTCCTTGTGATTGAATGTTTATTTGGAAATTTGCATAATGTAAGTTTTGTTTGGAAGTTCGATAACTCAAATTATGTCCCTTTGAACAACGTAGATAAAACGATCATTGATTTTTGCTTTATATTATGTAAATGTTTAAGCAATGCTAACGAGTAACAGGCTTGTATACTATATATAAGACGTTAGAGAGACAAAAATGACCATGTGTTAAAGTCAGAGTAAATAACGGTTGCGGGTAATACCGCGTGTAAAGGACTTAGTGTGAGCTTATCTCACTAAACAAGTACTGCTAAGCAGTATTGAAAAGCGTCTTTGATTGTTCTACAAAGTTATCGGCGCTTTGTTTGAGGCTCAAAATATTCACTCATCAGTCAAACAGGAAAGTTTATAATTTTTTCACTGTTTTGCCTAATAATAAAAATTGACCAAGTATGTTTTCATTAGACAGTACATCAAGCATTACAATGCAATGTATTGTACATGTAGGACAGTTATATTTTTATTTAAAAGCAAAATTAATTAGCTTGCAATTAAAGAACTTCACTCGACACTCCAATTTTTCTCGGGATGTTTCGCATATATCCTTATCAGTCTTTCAATAAAAAAAAAATCAGCAAAAGTAACTGTTCTTTGATGAGAACTTACATGTAGCTGTATGTACTGTTATCAGTAAAAAAAAATCAGCAAAAGTAACTGTTCTTTGATGAGAACTTAGCTGTATGTACTGTTATCAGAATATATTCTGTTTATCCTTCCTGGTGCTTATCTGCATCACTCTCAAAATTTACACTCACCAGTCAAACACGAGATTTCTCTCTTTTTCAATCTTTCATATACCCAAACTAGGCGTTGCATGAAATATTAAAACAGCAATAAAAAAAATTGTCGAAAAATCCTTCGACATTATAACTGCATTGTTAATTTAGATTCGTATGAAAAAGAACAATCATATAAGAAAATGTGAATGAAAATATTCCATCCAGTCTGTTTTTCAAAACTTTTTTAAAAAATAAAAATATATTAGAAAATATGTTGATTAACACCTTATTTTCAATATCATAATGTAAAACAAAAAAGGACTTCATTTTATTGAATGACATTGCATTGTAGTGCAGTGCAATAAAATGGAGTTAAATTCTTATTATGGTAAACAGTATAAATTCTCTTGCAAACAAAAAAATCCACTCATCAGTCAAAAAGTACTACAAAGTTATCGACCATAATTAACAAGTAAATTAACGGTTAAGCATTAAAAAAATGAAAATCGGTACATAATTTGGATGTTCATTTGATATATAATTTTTTTATATTTATCTTACTGAATACAATGATCTTGCTGTGGCGCTAAAATTTTGACTGTGGCGGAACCATGGCGCTGATTTTTTAACTGTGGCGCTAGGGAATTTAACGGTGGCGGAGTCGCCACATTAGACGGCCCATGGAGAATCCCGCTACATTCATTCATTCATTTATTCTCTCAAAAACCATATGAATTGTACAAGAGGTACATATATACGTATTTACAATAATCATGGACGAGCAGAGATTACAGGAGGACAGACAGTGTCAAAAATTTTGATGATAAATATACACAATTTTCTTAAGAATGCTGGGTCAGTATTTGTCATTAAATTACAGAATTTTATAATATTTGGATGTACATAGTATTTCTTTAACAGAAAATCTTTTCGAATATTACAAAATACATTACATTCCAGTAAGTAATGAAATTCGTCTCCAATTTGATTATTATTACATAAATAGCACACTATTTCATTTCTTTCAACATTATTCCATCTACCCACCTCTATGGGAAGACGATGGTTACTTACAGAATGACACACCTATTTCTTTAGAAATGAGAAAGAAATAATCGTCGTAATGCTTTAGGTAACCCCACTCTCTGCGACTAGTAACATGAATTAAACTGAAAAGGAGATTTTATAAAGTTAGAAGAAAGAGTTAGAGACCCCGATTTTGTAAATAACGCGTATTGCATAATTGTGAATTCATCCTGTTTATTGGAGTTACCACAACACATGTATCGGTCGAACACGTGTTTACTTGGTGTTTATGTATAGACTGTCAATTTGATTGGCTATTATATTTATCGAATACCTGTTCTACAGGTATTCGAATGAACCATTTGAGCGTAGTGAGTGACCGTCGAGGCGTACGGACGTGTTATTTTCGGTCCCGAGGTTCATGAGTTGTTTTTCTATGTTCCAGTATTGTGTGTGTTCTATTTCTTTGTTATATGGATGTATAGACCAAGATTCTCACTGTGATTTATCTTAATTCATTAGATTAAAGGATTAAAAATGCTTAAGTCTAAAACCAGATCGAAAAAAAAGGAAGGCTGAACTCATTGGTGCGTTTCAAAGTCCAACAAATAATGACAATGATAGCAATGACGACAGTTCAGTGAGCGCTGACAGGAGCAGAACACCAAATACGTCTTTTCTCAGTAATATTCTAAACACAGCCAACAATGTTCTGTATGGCACACCAAGGTCTAACTTTGTACCTAATGCAAACACGTCAACACCAAAAGAGGCGAATAAAGTAGGTACGGAAAACGTTGACGAAATTAAAGAAATGGTCCTTGAAACGAATAAAAAACTTGACTCAGTGTTAGAAAAATTGAATAAGCTGGACAAAATTGAGTCGGAGTTAGACAAAATTAACAAGGACATTTCAAAAATAGACAACAGGATGTTATCTCTTGAAAAAGTCTCTGGGCAACAAGGTGATTCTCTGAACTTCATGGCCCAGCAGATTGAAGATCTCAACAAAGTAAGAAAAACTGTAGATGTTGAAAACCTGGGCAAAGAAATGAAACGACAAGAGAAAATGATTGAACTCATGAGCCGGAATCTAGAGAACATAAGGCGAGATCGCGACGAGATGAGTGACCAAGTTAGCGATCTACAATGGAGGTCTATGAAAAGCAATCTTGTGTTCTCGGGCCTAGGGGGTGAAACTAACAATGAAGACAATGAAGCAAAGCTACGAGATTTCCTACAGTATGAATTAGGAATTGGGCATTATATTCAGTTCGGAAACGTGCATCGATTTGGTAAGCACATCAGGGGAAAAAATCGCCCGATTGTGGCACGATTTCTTTACAACAAAGAACGGGATATGGTAAAGGACCGAGGCTACATGCTGAAAAATAAACCATACGGGATACGGGAGCAATTTCCAGCTAAAATAGAAGATCGTAGAAAACAACTTCTACCTGAAGTAAAAAGATTACGAGAGGAGGGCAATCGTGTAAAACTTGTACGTGACAAACTCATAGTAAACGGTGAGCTTTACAACCCGTGTGACGGTGGAGAAGATTTCATGGATTACGAAGTACAGTTAAGTGCTCAGGGTACAGGTGAGAGTGATCGCGTCAATTCAAGTGTGGCAGTCAATGACAATCAAGCCAGATAGGGGGGCGCCGAGAGTGAACTGTCTAATGTTTCAATAATCTCCTGGAACATTGGGAAAGGCTTGTTGGATAAACTGAGCGACGACTCTTTCCTATCAATCATTAAAAACCATGATATTGTTTTCTTGTGTGAATGTTGGATAAATGATGAACATATTCCTAATTTACCTGGGTTTTGTAAATATGTTTACCCCAGATCTGTTGGTTTAGGTGGTGGTATAGTTATTTTGTACAAATATCACTTAAAAAATGTAGTGTCGGTATTAGAAAATATTCATGACAGCATTATTTGGGTAAAACTAACTACCGGCGATATACCATTTTTATTTGCCTTTTGTTACATTCCCCCGGAAAATAGTACTTTTTATAATAACAGGTTAGACGAATTAGATCTGTATTATTGCTTAGAAGAATCGATATATAAATATAAAGATCAGGGTATTGTTATTATTTCCGGTGATCTCAATGCAAGAATAGGTGTGAGAGATGATTTTATTCAAAACGATGTATTAACTAAGGAAATGGGTAACTTGTTAAGCACCTTTGATTATGAATGTGATGGTAACTTTGTTTGTCGTAATAAAATGGATACACAAGTCAACACCTTTGGTAGGAAATTAGAATCACTGTGTAAATCATCTGGTATGCGCATTGTTAATGGTAGACATAAAGGGGACATTCAGGGAAATTTCACTTTTTATAATCACAATGGTTGTAGTCTCATTGATTACGTATTAATACATTATCAATATTTTGACAAAGTTGTTGATTTCAATTCAGGTACATTTACACATTTGTCTGACCACTGTCCAATCACGTTCGTTTTAAATTCAAATTTTACAAGACATGGGTCACATGAGTATAATTATGTTCAATGTTCTAGGTCATATAGTACTTCGGTGAAATGGAATGCACAAAATGTAAATTATGTTATTAACGATTTAGATGAAAATATTGGTAAACTGTCTGAAATAGCAAATAAGAACTTAGAAAGTCAAGGTGATGTAGATGTGTGTGTCAATGAATTTTGTAATGTTGTAAATAATATTGTCCTACCCAGATGTAATGTAAAATATAGTTCATACCAAAAGGCAATGAATGGTCAAAAATGTAATAAGGAAGATAAACCATGGTTTAATGAAAACTGTAGAAAACTTTATTTAGAGTATAAATCAGCATTGCGTGATTTCAATTTTTGTAAAACTGTGGAGAATCATAGAATGTTGGTATATAAGAAACATCTGTACAAAAAGTATGAGTATAGGCTTAAAAGACAATACAAACGCTATGAAGGTAATATGTTAGATTTTTTAAAGAAATACAATCCCAAACAATTTTTTAGATATTTTTCTAAATGCAAAACTAAAAACAGTGCAAGTGATATAACGCTAGATCAGTTTTTTGATCATTTTAAAAACTTGAACAACTATGAGAATGACATAAACACATCAAATGGAAATGTTGAGTCTGATGTAAACGATGCTATTTTTGAGGAATTTGAAGTTGAAATTTCCGAAAATGAAATTATAAAAGCAATTGGTAAACTAAAACGAAATAAGAGCTGTGGTGAGGACCTTATCCTTAACGAGTTACTGATAGAATGTAAAAATTCATTACTACCCATCATAACAAAACTTTTCAACTCAATATTTAATTCAGGGTTTTTTCCTAGTGAATGGTCTAAGGGTTGTATAATACCAGTTTTTAAAAAGGGTGATCGTAATGATGCAAATAATTATAGAGGCATTACTTTAATTAGTTGTTTAGGTAAGCTATTCACTTCCATTTTAAATGCTAGGCTGCTAGAATGGGATAGTTTGAATAATGTTATTACAGACGCGCAGTTTGGATTTAAACCTGGAAATAGTACGGTTGATGCAATATTTGTACTACAAACATTAGTTAATAAATTTTTGCAGAAAAAGGGTGGCCGACTATATTGCTGTTTTATAGATTATCGAAAAGCATTTGATCTAATTGATAGAGCTAAAATGTGGTGTAAATTAGTTAAACAAGGTATAACAGGCAAAATGTTCAATATTATTAAATCATTATATGCTAGTGTGAAATCATGTGTGAAGTTCAATGGTATGCTGTCGGAGTATTTTGAAAATAATGTGGGCTTACTGCAGGGGGAGGTTTTATCACCTCTATTGTTTTCATTATATGTTAATGATTGTGAGATGCATTTTTTAGAAAACAATTGTCCTTATGTTGAACTGCAGTTAATTTCCATTTTTTTATTGATGTATGCAGATGATATGGTACTTATTGCAGACTCACCAATGTCACTTCAAACATTATTGAATGAATTAAGTACTTATAATAAGAAATGGGGTCTTGAAGTTAATACAGATAAAACCAAAATTTTAGTTTTTAGAAATGGTAGAAGTTTACGAAATGAAGAAAAATGGGTTTACAATGGAAAACTTGAAATAGTAGATAGATTCAGTTATCTAGGAATGTGTTTCAATTATAATGGTAAATTTAATATAACTCAAAAGCACGTAGCTGAACAGGGAAGAAAAGCATTTTATGCGTTGAACAAAAAATTCTGCAACTTTGATTTTAATGTCGAAACTCAAATATCACTTTTTGAAATGTATGTATGTAGTATTCTTAATTATGGAGCAGAGGTGTGGGGATTTCATAAAGCTCCAGATGTAGAAAAAATACAAAGTCTCTTTTGTAAAAAGTTACTTCGTTTAAAAAAAAGTGCCTGTAACAATCTTGTGTATTTCGAACTTGGAAGAATGCCTATGAAGGAATCTAGAAAATTGAAAATTATAAAATATTTTTTGAAACTAAAGGGGACACAAAATATTCTACTAAAATCATGCTTGGAAGAAAGATTAAGGAATAATGATAGTTGGATCAGAGATATTCAAAATGAACTTAATAAACTGGGACTTGGCTATATATTTGATGCAGATTTCAATGATAATACTTACATGTTAGTAAAACAAAGATTCCTTGAGGTGAATAATCATACTATGATTTCTAATATTTGTAGCAATGCCCGTAGCCCGTTATACCAACATTTGGTTGATAATTTTGGTATACAATATTACTTGCGTAAACCTATTAATTATATGTACAAAATACAAATTGCTAGAATTAGACTATCTGCACATAATCTAAATGTTGAAACTGGTAGATATGTTAATGAAATTAGAAAAAAACAGATTATGTAAAATGTGCTCTTTGAATGTTATCGAAGACGAATTTCATTTTATTTTACAATGTCCTTTTTATCATGACCTTAGATCTAAGTATTTGAAAAAGTATTATTATAAGAAATCCAGTGTTTGGAAATTAATTCAACTTCTAAGTATACAAAATATAAAGGAACTTTGTAACCTTGGAAAATATTTATATCAAGCTTCCACTAGAAGAATGAAACATTTGTAAATTTTTAAGTATTTCATAATTACAGTTGCCTGTTAGAAAACACGTCCTACATAGTTTACTTGCTATTTATTGATTATGCTCACTCTCATATTGTTATATTTTACAGTATTGTATATATGTTTATATATGTAATCTGATGTGTCGTATGACGCAAAGAAATAAAGAACTTGAACTTGAACTTGAGCGATGTTTTTACTTTCTAAAGAAATAGGCCTGTCATTATATGGCAATCAACGTTCTAAAGAAAGCTCAAAACGTCCCATTCAAACGGAGAATTTTACCACTTCAATGCGCTTCACTGTATGATCGATATCAAAAGGATTGGAAAAAAAAAAAAAAAAAAAAAAAAAAAAAAAAAAAAATTTAAAAAAAATGTTTATATGAAAAAATACAAAGAGTAGAAACTATGGAAGATGCCATGGGCGTTTGTAATATGTTGCTCTGTCGTTAACTAGAAAATGCATATAAAAAATGTACTATTTTCAGAACACTAGCGCTTCAAGGTTAAGGAAAACGAGCAGCATCCCTTAGGCATTTAAACAGTTAAATGGATAACAAAGTTTTTTTTCATATTACAATACCCGTGATCATCTGTTTTGGTCAGGGAATCCACCTGACAATTGTATTCACCGATAGTATAACAAAGGAATGCAGACGAAAAATCGCCTTAGTTACAGTATGACTTTGAGAAACCTAGAATTCCACGTTTATTAAACGTGTTACAAATGAATTGTTTGTAATGGTGAGCATGGAAATAATAGAATAAAAATGGACAGCACGGAAAAGCATGCAAATGCATGAAAAAAAAATGTCCTTTGTGCCTTTTCGATCGCCTTGTTTTTTTTTTTTCAAGCGTGAAGTTCCTGTAGTATCCGTAGTAACCCACAGTGGAATTCAACTCATTCAAAAGCTATATTGGTACCCCATTTGCTACATGTATACTCTGACGCCAAAAAATATAGTCCCATTTCATATGCAAGCATGTTTGTCCAAAAAGAAATTTTAATACATAAGTGCAGAAAATAATGCAAATGAAGAATACTTATTGACGTTTGAATGAATTCAAGAGAGATTGAAATACATTTTTACATATATTATTCAGTGGTGAAAAATGAAACGCAAGACAACTTTTCTGTTTACCATGTCTCCACGTGCTAGTCACTTCCTAGCCACATTAATTTCCGTGAATAATTTACCTTATCTCGTTGTAGTCTCGCTAGATCTCATCAGAGCTACTGTGAGAGCTACTGGGAATTCGTCGGATTTTATTATTTGCAGAACACCGAAAAATAAAATGTTCCGAACACATTAGTAGGGGTGACAGTACCTGTAGGAAATAAAGCCAGATTGTAGTAAAAGTACACTATCACTGATATTTTACATTACTTAGAAAAACAAAATTGTTCAAGTTTTAGAAAATCTATACTGATATAAATATATATGTTTTAATGACATTTAATATTATTTTCCTCTGCACTCTACAGTAAAACGTGTTTAATTTCTAAACGCGTTTAGATATAAAACGTTAAGACATATTAAGTGTTTAGTTGTTAAACACAATACTATACACGTTTAGATCTAAACATGTAAT